GCAAGCATAATAGTTGTCCTATACCAAATTTATTTATTTTTTTAATCTTTTTCTGATATGCAAATAAATGAGCCCAATCACTTTCATAAGCCTTTGGTTTGTCTCCATGATTCTCGACTAACGAATATTCTAAGTTGTGATAAGCTATTTGTAAACTTTCTTCTGAAAGTGAAAATGAAACTGAAAGTAGGAAAGAAAATCATCGAAATATTCTTTGTCCATTCCATTGCTGCATTACATTGCTACATCATCTGTATATATATACATACAATGTAAGAGCTCTAGAAAGATCTAAACTAGCTAACGTACTGCTCTAACTAACTGCTAGGTGCATGACAAAAATTAACTACTGGACTTTCTGTTGCAGCAGATCTAATTGGCTAGCAGTGTCTTGAGAAAGAAGGTTGATTTCTGTATAGATATTAGCTTGCTGAATTATTTCTTTTGCCTTTCTCCCATTTTGTGCAGCAATGCTGTGAAGGACATCAGTCAACATTTTCTGACATTTTATTTGTCTTCTGATTTCTGTTCTAAATTACAGTGCAAGCAATTTTTTGTAAGTGAGAAAACTAAAATTTGTTTTATATTATGTGTAGACTGAGTGGACCAGTTTCGTTTTCCAGCTTCATTGTACATTTTTTTTCTTGCCCTTTTTTCTTCTCACCTATTTTTTTCCTTTGGCAAAACCCTAGGCCACCATCACCGGCATGGCAGCTGCACCACCAGCCTCTAAAAAACCCTAGAAGGAGAAGGAGAAGGAGAAGGAGGTCCTCCTGAGGGGGTGAGAAACCAAATCAAGCGAAGATGAGGATCATGATAAAGGGTGGGGTGTGGAAAAACACTGAAGATGAGATCCTGAAAGCGGCGGTGATGAAGTATGGAAAGAACCAGTGGGCTCGCATCTCTTCCCTCCTCGTTCGCAAGTCCGCCAAGCAGTGCAAAGCTCGCTGGTACTAGTGGCTCGATCCTTCCATCAAAAAGGCGTGTCTTTTCTCTCTTTCTTCTTCATTCAATTTCACTACATTACTTGTTACTTGCCAATTCTGTTGCTTGCGTGTATTGCTGCTAGCAAATTGAAGGTTTCAATGTTGTTATTTCATGTTCTATAGTTCTATAAATGTGATAAACTTTCACATAATATACTGTAATATATATATATATATATATATATTCGCAATGCTATTGCGAAAGCAATTCGAACTTCCAAATTGCATGTACAACAAGATTTAGAAATATTAATATCCTATTGCTACAACAAAACTGAAAAGAGTGAGACTGTGATTTTTAGGCAATTGAGCAAAGAGGGCAATGACATAGACAAGAATGAGCATCTGCCATTTTTAGGATTAAAAGTACAAATTCAGTATAACAGTGATATCGATGATGCAGTATCAGTAACACACAATAAACCCCACATGTGGAGGCTCAACCCCCACTTTCTAGGTGCCACATATACATTGGAGGGTAAAGGTGAAATTATTGGATGGTGATACCGATGACGTGGTATCACCGTTGCATTGAAGTTTTTTCTCATTTTTAGGCCATTGAGCACAGAGAGTGAGAAAATAGACAAAATTAGTCTTCACATTAGGGTTTTAAAAAAACACCTTGTAAACACATAAGAATCCTATACTTCAATAAGGGTGACTCTCAACAAGGTTTTAATTAATTTATTTATTTTTTTAACAATTTCAATGATGTCAAATTATTAAAACCTTCTAAAATTTTTACATAATATACTATATAATCCTTAAATAAATAAATAAAATCAAAGTTCAATGGGTTCGAGGAGCTCTGGCCGTGGAGATAACGCTCCGTCTGGTTGATGGAAAATCATGTGTACCTTGTTTTCGCGCTCGAAAACTTGTCACTGTTCTTGGACCTTTTCTAGGATGACTTGTTATTTGTTTTCTTTGTTGGTTTGGTATTTATGGGAAATGGGAGGTTTTTTGCCTATGAGACTGCAGTAATGCTTTGTTTGGTTGCTAAGATAGTGTAAAATGAAAGAAGAATCTTATGTTTGAGAGAATAAAATGTCTTTTTGGTACAGTTTACATTTTCAATGTTTTCGTTTTTCGTTTTTCATTTTTTAAGACAAACAACGAAAAGAGACTAAAAACACCCATAGCTTTAACCCCAAGCGGTTGGCCTGGTGGCAAGGCCTTGGGTTTTGCGGGTGTGCTCCCTCCAAGGTTCAGGATCTAAACCTCTTAGGTGCTAAAAATTCCTTAGGGTTATCAGACTGGAAGAAAACCCTTGAATTAATAGTAGTATACTTGTGAGAAACTCCTTGCTGAGGGTCTGTGCACCTCTGGGGATGGGATTAGTCAGGCTTTGATCTGAACACCCCGGTGTCAATTAAAAAATGAAAAAAACACACCCATAGCTTCTAGTTTTGTGAGAAAATAATTTTTAAAACAAAGTTCAAATTGTTTCTAAAAAAATGGGGTGTTTTCGAAAAAGTTTCCTGGAATGCTTGGAAGTTGAAATCACCCTCATCATTATTGTTGGACATTTGTATTGGTTTGTAATTTTACGATTATTCCTCAACCATGAAGCACGGATACCTCTCCGATGGCTATGTATTAGTTTCCAGCACGTGTCAGACACCAACACATTAGCCCAATCTCTTCTTCTTTTTTATTGGGTTCTGGTATGCAAATAAATGAGAAACTCTTTTAAAGCAAGCATAGTAGTTGTCCTATACCAAATTTATTTATTTTTTTAATCTTTTTCTGATATGCAAAGAAATGAGCCCAATCACTTTCATAAGCCTTTGGTTTGTCTCCATGATTCTCGACTAACGAATATTCTAAGTTGTGATAAGCTATTTGTAAACTTTCTTCTGAAAGTGAAAATGAAACTGAAAGTAGGAAAGAAAATCATCGAAATATTCTTTGTCCATTCCATTGTTGCATTACATTGCTACATCATCTGTATATATATACATACAATGTAAGAGCTCTAGAAAGATCTAAACTAGCTAACGTACTGCTCTAACTAACTACTAGGTGCATGACAAAAATTAACTACTGGACTTTCTGTTGCAGCAGATCTAATTGGCTAACAGTGTCTTGAGAAAGAAGGTTGATTTCTGTATAGATATTAGCTTGCTGAATTATTTCTTTTGCCTTTCTCCCATTTTGTGCAGCAATGCTGTGAAGGACATCAGTCAACATTTTCTGACATTTTATTTGTCTTCTGATTTCTGTTCTAAATTACAGTGCAAGCAATTTTTTGTAAGTGAGAAAACTAAAATTTGTTTTATATTATGTGTAGACTGAGTGGACCAGAGAAGAAGATGAGAAACTGCTTCACCTTGCTAAGCTCATGCCCACACAATGGAGAACAATTGCCCCAATTATGGGTCGTACTCCATCTCAATGCCTTGAACGCTATGAGAAGCTCCTTGATGCAGCCTGTGCAAAGAATGAGAACTATGAAGCAGGTGATGATCCACCCCTGGAGAGATTGATCCAAACCCAGAATTGAAGCCTGCGCGTCCAGACCCTGTTGATATGGATGAGGATGAGAAGGAAATGCTTTCAGAAGCACGAGCTCGGTTAGCCAACACTAGGGGCAAGAAGGCAAAAAGGAAAGCCCGGGAAAAGCAGCTTGAAGAGGCCAGGAGGCTAGCTTCTTTGCAGAAAAGGAGAGAACTAAAGGCAGCTGGAATTCAAACTAGGCAAAGGAAAAGGAAGAGGATGGGTATTGACTATAATGCTGAAATTCCCTTTGAGAAGAAGCCTCCTCCAGGCTTTTTTGATGTCGCTAATGAAGATCAACCAGTGGAACAGCTCAAGTTCCCTACCACCATTGAAGAACTTGAGGGTGAAAAAAGAACTGATAGGGAAGCAAGATTAAGGAAGTAGGATATTGCAAGGAATAAAATTGCACAGAGGCAGGATGCCCCATCTGCAATACTGCAAGCAAACAAACTAAATGATCCAGAAGCAGTCCGGAAGAGGTCAAAACTGATGCTTCCTGCGCCACAGATTTCAGATAATGAATTGGAGGAGATTGCGAAGATGGGTTATACCAGTGATCTCCTTGCAGGGAGCGAGGAACTCATTGAAGGGAATGGTGCAACTCGTGCTCTACTTGCAAATTATGCTCAGACACCACGACAAGGAATGACCCCACTACGGACCCCTCAGCGAACACCTGCAGGTAAGGGTGATGCTATTATGATGGAAGCTGAAAATTTGGCCAGGTTGAGAGAGTCTCAGACACCGTTACTTGGAGGAGAAAATCCAGAACTGCATCCTTCAGATTTTTCTAGGGTCACTCCTAAGAAAAGGGAGATCCAAACGCCAAACCCAATGTTAACTCCTTCAGTGACTCCCGGAGATGGTGGTATGACACCAAGACTTGGCATGACTCCGTCAAGGGATTCATTTGGTCTTACTCCAAAAGGAACTCCAATTAGGGATGAGCTTCATATTAATGAGGGCGTGGATATGCATGAAAGTGCAAAACTTGAGCTCCGTAGACAAGCTTATATTGCTTTGATTTAAATTTAAATTACCTGCAATTGACTGCTACAAACTTTGTCTTAAAGGGGAGGAGTTTTGATTGTTTTCTTGTTTTAGTTTTCATATATAGAAAAACTTAAAGAAACCGGACTAATAACATTTCATGGAGCACATCCCCATGGTTCCTCAGTCAGTTGATTTATCAGAAAAAATATGAGATTCAAAATTACATTTATTTTCTTCCCACATTCTTTTGTCCACAAATATTTTACTTTTCCATATTGCATTGAGAAAGAAAGTTGGCAGTTTTAAAGTATTAGCTTGCTATATTATTTCTTTTCCTTTCTCCTATTTTTTTGCTGCTATGCACTAAAGGATGTCAGTTGACTCTTCTGACATTTTATTTGTCTTATTAAGTTCTGGTCTATGTCACTATGCAGTCAACTTTTTGTACATGAGAAAACTAAAATTAAGTTGTACTTCTTGTAGACTGAGTGGACCAGAGAAGAAGATGAGAAATTGCTTCATCTTGCTAAGCTTATGCCTACACAATGGAGGACAATTGCCCCGATCGTGGGTCGTACTCCATCTCAATGCCTTGAACGCTATGAGAAGCTCCTTGATGCAGCCTGTGCAAAGGATGAGAACTATGAAGCAGGTGATGATCCACGGAAATTGCGCCCTGGAGAGATTGATCCAAACCCAGAATTGAAGCCTGCGCGTCCAGACCCTGTTGATATGGATGAGGATGAGAAGGAAATGCTTTCAGAAGCACGAGCTCGGTTAGCCAACACTAGGGGCAAGAAGGCAAAAAGGAAAGCCCGGGAAAAGCAGCTTGAAGAGGCCAGGAGGCTAGCTTCTTTGCAGAAAAGGAGAGAACTAAAGGCAGCTGGAATTCAAACTAGGCAAAAGAAGAGGAAGAGGAGGGGTATTGACTATAATGCTGAAATTCCCTTTGAGAAGAAGCCTCCTCCAGGCTTTTTTGATGTCGCTGATGAAGATCAACCAGTGGAACAGCTCAAGTTCCCTACCACCATTGAAGAACTTGAGGGTGAAAAAAGAACTGATAGGGAAGCAAGATTAAGGAAGCAGGATATTGCAAGGAATAAAATTGCACAGAGGCAGGATGCCCCATCTGCAATACTGCAAGCAAACAAACTAAATGATCCAGAAGCGGTCCGGAAGAGGTCAAAACTGATGCTTCCTGCACCACAGATTTCAGATAATGAATTGGAGGAGATTGCGAAGATGGGTTATACTAGTGATCTCCTTGCAGGGAGCGAGGAACTCATTGAAGGGAATGGTGCAACTCGTGCTCTACTTGCAAATTATGCTCAGACACCACGACAAGGAATGACCCCACTACGGACCCCTCAGCGAACACCTGCAGGTAAGGGTGATGCTATTATGATGGAAGCTGAAAATTTGGCCAGGCTGAGAGAGTCTCAGACACCGTTACTTGGAGGAGAAAATCCAGAACTGCATCCTTCAGATTTTTCTGGGGTCACTCCTAAGAAAAGGGAGATCCAAACGCCAAACCCAATGTTAACTCCTTCAGTGACTCCCGGAGATGGTGGTATGACACCAAGACTTGGCATGACTCCATCAAGGGATTCATTTGGTCTTACTCCAAAAGGAACTCCAATTAGGGATGAGCTTCATATTAATGAGGGCGTGGATATGCATGAAAGTGCAAAACTTGAGCTCCATAGACAAGCTGATTTGAGAAGGAACTTGAGCAACCTTCCACAGCCCAAGAATGAGTACCAGATAGTTATCCAACCAGTCCCTGAAGATAATGAAGAACCAGAGGAGCATATTGAAGAAGATATGTCTGACAGGATGGCTAGAGAGGAGGCTGAGGAAGAAGCGAGGCAACAATTGTTACTTAAGAAGAGATCGAAAGTGCTGCAGAGGGAGCTCCCTAGACCTCCCGCTGCTTCATTGCAACTAATTAAAAATTCTTTGACAAGGGCTGATGAAGACAAGAGCTCCTTTGTTCCCCCAACTTTGACTGAGCAGGCTAATGAAATGATAAGAAAAGAGCTTCTATCCTTATTAGATCATGATAATGCAAAGCTAAGTTACGCGGGTGCGGGTGCAGGTGTGTATCTAAGGGTCGGACACTTCAAAATTTAAAATGAAGGATACGTGGATATGTATCCAAATTTGGATACGGGTACGGGGATACGTTAAATAGTTTGTTTTAAAAAAAATATATTTATTATATGAAGATGAGTTATATTATATGAATAGCAAATAAAAATTATTTTAGATATAAAATAAATTTTATTATATATGATAAAATAAGTTATTTTTTATTTTAGACATAAAAATTATATTATTTATGATATATTGTATTATATAATTTTTTTGGATGAATAATATTATATATAGTAAGGGCAAATTGAATTTCTTGACAAACTTCACACATTCAGCATGTCCTGCAAAAATCATCACAATAAATTCAATAATAACACTATAAAACATCACAGCCACTGCACATTAACTAAACACCTTATCAACATCCTCACAAAAGAATAAGCAAGAGAATGCACTGTAATTTGCAAATTATTTAGAAGTTCAAAGAAAAAAAAATTGTTTCAATTACTGCTTTAAAAAGCCAAGTAAAGCTGGTGTCATCTATCCCATCTCAGAAGCATGTTCTTTCTATAATAACGCGTTCTTGATGGGACTCTACAGTCTCACGAGAGACGAGAGAGAAGACAGAGAAGGAGATCGAGAGACGAGAGAGAAGACAGAGCAGGAGATGGAGACCGAGCATCGAGCATGTCGAAGCAGTCGAAGCAGCGACCGATGTCTTCGCCATTTCGACAGGTGACCAGGTTCTCTCTTTCTCTCCCTCTTTCATCTCTTTTGCTGTCTGTAAAGAGCCGTGTCCAAGAGAGAACACGCGAATCCGACACAGATCCCACACCCGCACCCGTGTAATGTCGTGTCGACACGGGTATTTCGCCCCAAAGTGCCGAGTCCCTGTAACACAGATGCAAAGTATCCACTTGACGAAAAAGTGGACAAGGATAACAAGAAAGGAGCCAAGCGGGCTGCAAACAGAAGATCTGTTTCTGTCCCTGTGATTGAAGACTTTGAAGAAAATGAGCTGAAGGAGGTATGCTTTTGCTACATATCTATCTATTAATACTGTTAGTTATTCTTGTCTGTCATGAAATCTTTTTCTCTTTGTTTTCTTATGGTAGTTTAATCTTCAACCACCTTAGCATACCTGTTCATATTTGCTTCATATAAAAAAAAATTTGCTTGCTGATCAGAGCTGGTCATATGTTGATGCAATCATAAAACGTCAGGGTAAGTTAATTGTTTTAACTTTATGCAAGTTCTTCAAATTATAGATAAGTGGTGATGCTCCTCTCATGGTGCCATAATTTCATTATCCTAATTATGAACTTTCCATAAGACTCAGTTTTTTAGAATGAAAAAAGTTAGTAGAATGGAAGTACAAGAAAGTAGAGTAAATGAAATGAAAATAAAAGCAAAAGTAAAAGTTCAACATACATATGGTTAAGTAGAAAGTTTTCAAAAAGATACAAGAATACAATATTATTTTAGTAATTATTTTACTCAGTCAATTGCAATAATTAGCATGGAATTAGAATAATTATTTTAGTAAAACGCTTTGTGTACGTTCAGAAATTCACATGGGAATTTTGGTTGTTGCCATATGCCATATTTGGTTTTTGAGTTCCATGATATGCCATTTTGTTCAATTCCTTTTACTCTGGAGATTTATCTTTAGTATTACATTTATTTCTAGTACTATACTTAAATTTCAGTAGTTTAGTCTTGAAGTACACCTTTGCATCTGACATGTTCTCGAGTCATCTTCATATCTCATTTACCACGCAGGAAGAAGTAAGCTGATTATTAAACGAGCAAACACTATAGGAATAATGGATGTTTGCTCGTTATATTTGGCCAAAAGTATATGGATTATGGCCTTTTATAGCAATATGATGTTCTTGTGCAAACATTTATATTATTCTATTGGACTTTCCCTCATCATTGTAGTTCCAATTCTTGAAACAAACATGACCATTGTGTCTTTTCCCGATTTATGCATTACTTTTGTTTCCTGAAAGTTAGAAGATTCAGAGCTCATACTTGTTTGATCTTGAACATCAAATACGTTATTTTGTGGCATACTACTGCCTTTTGTTACTACAGTCCTTCAGGTGAAACATGTCATAACTAAATGTGATTTCATTGACATTTGATAGATGATACACTATCATAATCTATAAACCCCAAAAAAATAAGGGTGCCTAAAAGTGTTGTTACAAGTCGAGAAATAACCTCCTCTCCTTACCTCTTGTGTTTTTGCAGGTTGGTTATTTCATTAAGGAAGAGGTTCAGTTTCTTCGCTTGGCAATGGGGCATGAGAATGAGTCCCTTGATGAGTTTGTTGAAGCACATAAAACATGTTTAAACGATATCATGTATTTCCCTACTCGTAATGGTTATGGTCTATCTAGTGTTGCCGGAAACATGGAGAAACTTGCTGCCTTGCAGAATGAATTTGAGAATGTAAAGAAAAGGATGGATGATGATACTAAGAAGGCACAACGCCTTGAGCAGAAGATAAAACTTCTTACTAATGGTTGTCAGGTATGCAGAGTTTCTTGGTTGACTGTCAATTTATCATTAATATTAGTTCTTTTTCTTTTATAACTTAAAACATCATAGCAAATTTAAAACATTGAGATTGTAGTACAAGTTTACTTAATAATTTCCTTCATTTTGTATTTAATTGGTATTTGTTGCTGTTATGTCCACAGCGTAGCAGCACATTAAGTTGTTCCTTTTGCTTGCTTTTTTATCCAGGACTTTTTTTAAAGATGAATAAGATAGAGTTCCTTTCCAATTGCCTTAAATATTTTTAAGTATTTTTAGTACGGATTTTCTTTGATCAACAAAAAGATACATGTGAAGGTTTTTATGTTTGCACAGTTAGCACAATTGACTTATTAATGCACTATTGCTTGTTGCAACTGCCACTAGTTAAGTGAATTGATCTTGACTATGATTTGATGCAATGAACCTGTTTATATGAGCCGCAAGTCATGATGCAAGAAATGCATGGAAGAACATACACGTGTTCATGCATACACAAACAAATTCACAATTCTTGCATTTTAATGCAAGAATACTCAAAATTTACTTTATTTAATGGCATATGAATTTTTATATCACTGCAAGTGATGGATTAGTTCCTGTTTGTTTTAGATTCAAGTTGTAATGGTTCTGATAGATGGACATTGTCAATGATCATATGCGAGCTGGGAAACTTTGGTCACAAATTGAAGCAACTTTTAAGCAGATGGACACTGCAGGAACAGAACTCGAGTGCTTTCAAGCTTTACAAAAGCAAGAGCAGCTGGCAGCATCACATAGGATCAATGGCCTCTGGGAAGAAGTTCAGAAGCAGGAGCTTGAGCGAACTTTGCAGAAACGCTATGGGGATCTTGTAGCGGAGAAAGAAAGGATCCAAAGCCTCGTGGATGCTTTCAGAGTACAAGAAGAAGTTGCAGCAAAAAATCGTGCTCTTGAGTTGGCCAATGCTGCAGCAAATGAAACTGCTGAGCCTCCAACTGATGAAATTCCAAGCCAAGAGACAGATGCTGCTCAAGTACAAGCTAATGCAAGTCCAAAACAGGACATGGATGCTGATGGAGTGGTCGAGAATGCAACTCCAGTCGTGGATGTGAGCTCATCTGACATCATGCCCTCTGTTTCTGCTGATGATGCTACTCAGCTCAAGAGTGTGGATGAAAATCACTCTAGTGACATTCCAGATCAAAATTCTGCTGCCAAATTGAATATTAACTCTGACCTTACTGATGGAGACGAGATTAGTATGTGTGGTGACACTGTCAATGGTACTGTTGGTGAGAATTTAACGAGCCCAGAAGTCGCTGGGGGGGATTTATCAGCTAAGGATCAGCAGAATACTGGGGAAGATGGAATCGAGGATAGTATCCTGACCAGGCCAGAAGACATTGTCCCAGAAACAGCTGAAGATGGTAATGCTGATGAGGACAGACAAGTTTCTATCGAGGTGGACAGTGTAAATATGCAAGATGCATAAAAAACTGTCAAAAAAGTTCGAATAAACTTTGGAAGCTGATGAAAGACTGTATTCTCCTAGTGCGCTTGCTTCTTCTTGATTGTGCTGCTTGAGGCTGCTCTCTGATGCTGTTGGAATTACTGTTTGCATTCTGTTGTCTCCTTTTATTGCTGATTATTTAATGCGAGAACAAGGAGATGTATTGTTAAAAACCACCTACTCTCCACCTACTTCACCCACTTAAACCTACTCCACTAAACCTAACCCACTACACCACTACCACCTCACCTACTCCACTAAACCTAACCCACTAAATCCACATACTCTCCACCTACTTCACCCACTTAAACCTACTCCACTAAACCTAACCCACTAAATCCACATACTCTCCACCTACTTCACCCACTTAAACCTACTCCACTAAACCTAACCCACTAAATCCACATACTCTCCACCTACTTCACCCACTTAAACCTACTCCACTAAACCTAACCCACTAAATCCACATACTCTCCACCTACTTCACCCACTTAAACCTACTCCACTAAACCTAACCCACTAAATCCACATACTCTCCACCTACTTCACCCACTTAAACCTACTCCACTAAACCTAACCCACTACACCACTACCACTTCACCTACTCCACTAAACCTAACCCACTACAACACTACCACTTCACCTACTCCACTAAACCTAACCCACTACACCACTACCACATCAGAGTGAGCAGACCACGGGAAGAGGATGCCATGTTCTGGGTAGCTGGGTGGGTACATTTGCTGAATTGAGAATATCTTGATATTATATTGTGTTAAAATCCACCTACTCTCCACCTACTTCACCCACTTAAACCTACTCCACTAAACCTAACCCACTACACCGGTCGGGAAAGAGAGTGAGCAGACCACGGGAAGAGGATGCCATGTTCTGGGTAGCTGGGTGGGTACATTTGCTGAATTGAGAATATCTTGATATTATATTGTGTTAAAATCCACCTACTCTCCACCTACTTCACCCACTTAAACCTACTCCACTAAACCTAACCCACTACACCGGTCGGGAAAGAGAGTGAGCAGACCACGGGAAGAGGATGCCATGTTCTGGGTAGCTGGGTGGGTACATTTGCTGAATTGAGAATATCTTGATATTATATTGTGTTAAAATCCACCTACTCTCCACCTACTTCACCCACTTAAACCTACTCCACTAAACCTAACCCACTACACCGGTCGGGAAAGAGAGTGAGCAGACCACGGGAAGAGGATGCCATGTTCTGGGTAGCTGGGTGGGTACATTTGCTGAATTGAGAATATCTTGATATTATATTGTGTTAAAATCCACCTACTCTCCACCTACTTCACCCACTTAAACCTACTCCACTAAACCTAACCCACTACACCGGTCGGGAAAGAGAGTGAGCAGACCACGGGAAGAGGATGCCATGTTCTGGGTAGCTGGGTGGGTACATTTGCTGAATTGAGAATATCTTGATATTATATTGTGTTAAAATCCACCTACTCTCCACCTACTTCACCCACTTAAACCTACTCCACTAAACCTAACCCACTACACCGGTCGGGAAAGAGAGTGAGCAGACCACGGGAAGAGGATGCCATGTTCTGGGTAGCTGGGTGGGTACATTTGCTGAATTGAGAATATCTTGATATTATATTGTGTTAAAATCCACCTACTCTCCACCTACTTCACCCACTTAAACCTACTCCACTAAACCTAACCCACTACACCGGTCGGGAAAGAGAGTGAGCAGACCACGGGAAGAGGATGCCATGTTCTGGGTAGCTGGGTGGGTACATTTGCTGAATTGAGAATATCTTGATATTATATTGTGTTAAAATCCACCTACTCTCCACCTACTTCACCCACTTAAACCTACTCCACTAAACCTAACCCACTACACCGGTCGGGAAAGAGAGTGAGCAGACCACGGGAAGAGGATGCCATGTTCTGGGTAGCTGGGTGGGTACATTTGCTGAATTGAGAATATCTTGATATTATATTGTGTTAAAATCCACCTACTCTCCACCTACTTCACCCACTTAAACCTACTCCACTAAACCTAACCCACTACACCGGTCGGGAAAGAGAGTGAGCAGACCACGGGAAGAGGATGCCATGTTCTGGGTAGCTGGGTGGGTACATTTGCTGAATTGAGAATATCTTGATATTATATTGTGTTAAAATCCACCTACTCTCCACCTACTTCACCCACTTAAACCTACTCCACTAAACCTAACCCACTACACCGGTCGGGAAAGAGAGTGAGCAGACCACGGGAAGAGGATGCCATGTTCTGGGTAGCTGGGTGGGTACATTTGCTGAATTGAGAATATCTTGATATTATATTGTGTTAAAATCCACCTACTCTCCACCTACTTCACCCACTTAAACCTACTCCACTAAACCTAACCCACTACACCGGTCGGGAAAGAGAGTGAGCAGACCACGGGAAGAGGATGCCATGTTCTGGGTAGCTGGGTGGGTACATTTGCTGAATTGAGAATATCTTGATATTATATTGTGTTAAAATCCACCTACTCTCCACCTACTTCACCCACTTAAACCTACTCCACTAAACCTAACCCACTACACCGGTCGGGAAAGAGAGTGAGCAGACCACGGGAAGAGGATGCCATGTTCTGGGTAGCTGGGTGGGTACATTTGCTGAATTGAGAATATCTTGATATTATATTGTGTTAAAATCCACCTACTCTCCACCTACTTCACCCACTTAAACCTACTCCACTAAACCTAACCCACTACACCGGTCGGGAAAGAGAGTGAGCAGACCACGGGAAGAGGATGCCATGTTCTGGGTAGCTGGGTGGGTACATTTGCTGAATTGAGAATATCTTGATATTATATTGTGTTAAAATCCACCTACTCTCCACCTACTTCACCCACTTAAACCTACTCCACTAAACCTAACCCACTACACCGGTCGGGAAAGAGAGTGAGCAGACCACGGGAAGAGGATGCCATGTTCTGGGTAGCTGGGTGGGTACATTTGCTGAATTGAGAATATCTTGATATTATATTGTGTTAAAATCCACCTACTCTCCACCTACTTCACCCACTTAAACCTACTCCACTAAACCTAACCCACTACACCGGTCGGGAAAGAGAGTGAGCAGACCACGGGAAGAGGATGCCATGTTCTGGGTAGCTGGGTGGGTACATTTGCTGAATTGAGAATATCTTGATATTATATTGTGTTAAAATCCACCTACTCTCCACCTACTTCACCCACTTAAACCTACTCCACTAAACCTAACCCACTACACCGGTCGGGAAAGAGAGTGAGCAGACCACGGGAAGAGGATGCCATGTTCTGGGTAGCTGGGTGGGTACATTTGCTGAATTGAGAATATCTTGATATTATATTGTGTTAAAATCCACCTACTCTCCACCTACTTCACCCACTTAAACCTACTCCACTAAACCTAACCCACTACACCGGTCGGGAAAGAGAGTGAGCAGACCACGGGAAGAGGATGCCATGTTCTGGGTAGCTGGGTGGGTACATTTGCTGAATTGAGAATATCTTGATATTATATTGTGTTAAAATCCACCTACTCTCCACCTACTTCACCCACTTAAACCTACTCCACTAAACCTAACCCACTACACCGGTCGGGAAAGAGAGTGAGCAGACCACGGGAAGAGGATGCCATGTTCTGGGTAGCTGGGTGGGTACATTTGCTGAATTGAGAATATCTTGATATTATATTGTGTTAAAATCCACCTACTCTCCACCTACTTCACCCACTTAAACCTACTCCACTAAACCTAACCCACTACACCGGTCGGGAAAGAGAGTGAGCAGACCACGGGAAGAGGATGCCATGTTCTGGGTAGCTGGGTGGGTACATTTGCTGAATTGAGAATATCTTGATATTATATTGTGTTAAAATCCACCTACTCTCCACCTACTTCACCCACTTAAACCTACTCCACTAAACCTAACCCACTACACCGGTCGGGAAAGAGAGTGAGCAGACCACGGGAAGAGGATGCCATGTTCTGGGTAGCTGGGTGGGTACATTTGCTGAATTGAGAATATCTTGATATTATATTGTGTTAAAATCCACCTACTCTCCACCTACTTCACCCACTTAAACCTACTCCACTAAACCTAACCCACTACACCGGTCGGGAAAGAGAGTGAGCAGACCACGGGAAGAGGATGCCATGTTCTGGGTAGCTGGGTGGGTACATTTGCTGAATTGAGAATATCTTGATATTATATTGTGTTAAAATCCACCTACTCTCCACCTACTTCACCCACTTAAACCTACTCCACTAAACCTAACCCACTACACCGGTCGGGAAAGAGAGTGAGCAGACCACGGGAAGAGGATGCCATGTTCTGGGTAGCTGGGTGGGTACATTTGCTGAATTGAGAATATCTTGATATTATATTGTGTTAAAATCCACCTACTCTCCACCTACTTCACCCACTTAAACCTACTCCACTAAACCTAACCCACTACACCGGTCGGGAAAGAGAGTGAGCAGACCACGGGAAGAGGATGCCATGTTCTGGGTAGCTGGGTGGGTACATTTGCTGAATTGAGAATATCTTGATATTATATTGTGTTAAAATCCACCTACTCTCCACCTACTTCACCCACTTAAACCTACTCCACTAAACCTAACCCACTACACCGGTCGGGAAAGAGAGTGAGCAGACCACGGGAAGAGGATGCCATGTTCTGGGTAGCTGGGTGGGTACATTTGCTGAATTGAGAATATCTTGATATTATATTGTGTTAAAATCCACCTACTCTCCACCTACTTCACCCACTTAAACCTACTCCACTAAACCTAACCCACTACACCGGTCGGGAAAGAGAGTGAGCAGACCACGGGAAGAGGATGCCATGTTCTGGGTAGCTGGGTGGGTACATTTGCTGAATTGAGAATATCTTGATATTATATTGTGTTAAAATCCACCTACTCTCCACCTACTTCACCCACTTAAACCTACTCCACTAAACCTAACCCACTACACCGGTCGGGAAAGAGAGTGAGCAGACCACGGGAAGAGGATGCCATGTTCTGGGTAGCTGGGTGGGTACATTTGCTGAATTGAGAATATCTTGATATTATATTGTGTTAAAATCCACCTACTCTCCACCTACTTCACCCACTTAAACCTACTCCACTAAACCTAA